TGCTTGCAAAGAGAGGAAGAGAGAATGGATATCTGTCTAGATACTGCTGTCTAGATGAGCTCGCCACAAAGAGGCAGGAAGGAGAAGAGGAGACTGGAGAGGAGGAGGCCCTAACAGGAGTGCATACTGTGGAAAAAAATCACTGCTGTTCTTAGCACATGGCACTTCGATACTCATTTAATTCTCACAACCACTCAAGGTTGCTGTTGTTACCAACTTCCCCGTTTTACTGGTTAGGAAAGAGGTGCAGGCGTATGTCTAACAATTTACTAAGATTTCGTAGTGGCCCAGTTGATCCCAGGAGCAGAAGGCCTAAAGAGGCAGGCTGTTCTTCTTTGCCTAGAATTGGGAACAACAGAGTTATTATTCAGAGCATGAGCTAGTGGTATACAGTAACCTCACTTGTCAATGAGATGTGATCTCATCAGTGTCTCAGATTCTGACCAAATAGCTTAGTGTTACACTTTCCTGTAGTGTGTGGTGTTAGGAAGCCTGGGTGAGGGGCGTAAATGGGGAGAAACCAAAGAGTACTCCCTTTCTGTGTCTTGTGTGTAGTCTACTAGATAGTGCTATTACTAATAGAGTATACAGGGAAAAGGTTTGGGGAAATGTAGGATGAACATGTAAAATTTTCAGGGTTGGGATTTTGAAGAATGATCGTGCCTAAAACTAGTTTGGGAGACATTGAATAGGTTGTCCCTTCACACTGCTTTCAAGGACCTTTTTATTTTATAGCATTAGTCTAGTTCCTGGGGCATGATGTTTCTACCTCATTAACTGCAGTTGAGTGTGCAGCACAAAGTGAGAGATTCACTGCAGTATTTAGTCACCTATTTGATGGTCTGTTCTTTGCTAGAATCTTAGAATAGAGAGAACAGCATGCCAGAAATTACTGACTGTAATTGATCCAGAGGACTACCTACTTTTTGTTAAGTCCATTTCTTTTTTCTTTGTGTAAAAAATACATAGCATACAAGTGATTGTTTTAACCATTTTCTCAGAAAAAGAGGAACAGAAGCCAAATATTACCCGAGGTTTTACAAATCAGTTATTGACCCCAAGCATGATTGAGATACAGTGTATATATAGGTAAATGAGAGTGTGTTTGCGAAAAAAGATTGCCAAGATGTGTTTCTATTAATTCCTGGGAGATGACTATAACCATCGTTCATTCCATCTCCATCTTTTTATTTTGAAACATTTTGTCACATTCACATACTACAGTACTTCATAGTCCACATACGTGTTTTTGTTGATGCCACACCAAAAGGCCATCTGCCTTGTGAATTGCTCGTTCTAGGTGTGAAATTCAAACATGCTGGTGAAATAAAAGTATGTCTTATTTTTTGATTAACCATGAATGAAATTAAACCAAAGCTGTTAAGTAGGACTACACCCTACAATAAGTATAGTTTCTTAATTAGCAAATTGTCTTTTTTCCCACTTACGAAATAAGTGTTTGTTACTTGCCTGGTCTTGCCTATGATCCACCATCCCTGTATGTCTTTATCTGGTTTGAGTCACCTCTGTGAGTGGTTTTTTCTTCTCTTCTCTCCCTTACAGTAGCAGTGCTGAAAGCACTTCAGTAGCTCAGTCATTTTAAGATTTTAGCCATGGTTCTCCTCCTAATAGGCTTACTTCCTTGTTAGAGAGTGCTTCCTACTCCATCCTTATAAAAGCTTTCTTCATCATCCTTATCATTTCCTTCATTAATGCAATTTCCTTCTCCTCTATGTGGAGCCATTAAACTATTGATTGTATTTAGTAAAGTTTTCTCACCCTGTTTTAATTTTATGTACTGAATTTTTTTCTCTTCTGAAACTATATTGCTTCCTGCATTTGGATTTTAGCATTTTTCTTTTTAAGGAGATTGTAATTTTAATTACATTTGGCCTAGTTCCCCACTGTTAGTGCTTGTACCATATGGGAAGTCCCTAGGATAATAGTCATGGTTTCTTCCCATCTTATTAGCTTGCTGTTCTCCTTCCTCCTACAGTTTCTCGTCCTCTCTAATGCTTCTGGAAGCTACTAAAAAGTTTAAGTAACCTATGTGAAATATGTCAGTGTCCCATTTTAGTATACATATGTCACATTTATAATTTATACCCTGCCTGCCTTCCAGAGGGACAGGATGTGGCTTATGATAAAAAAAAAAAAAATCCACATGTCCAACTGTACTGTTAAAAATAGTCAGAAAGGGAAGCCAGAAACTGTTTAAAGGAATTGGTAATACAATGTACTTATCAAACATAAGAAAAAATTCCTTTGAAAAATGAAAGAAGAACATAACCTTTAAATTATGTAACATTACTAGTATAAAATTCTCCTATTCTACACTAGTAATGAAAGAAGATTGTAATTGTGGTCTGGAAATATTTTTGTATAATGACAGAATTACTAACATTGTTTCTTACTTTGTCTACCCAGAAATTTTTTTCTAAAATAGAAAATTAAAGGGATTTTCCTCAGTTTCCAATTACCATTACTAACCTTTTTAGTCAGACTGTCTTGTTCAGATTTACCACTAACAGCTCCCATTTATTGATCACTTGCCGTGTTGCATTCAGCTAGGGATTGGATACAAGTGATCTCATTTAGTCTTCATCATTAGACTGTGAGATAGACGGTATTGCTCTGTGTTGGAGATGAATAGGGAACAGATTCTGAACAGGTAACTGGACCAAAGTTGCCCAGGTAGTAAGTGATAGAGTTAGAATCCAGGCCATACTGGATTCTAAGTCCATTCTTTTTCTATTACTCCTTGATGTTTCCTAGTAAAGAAATATATTAGCTATTATAACACGTACCCTAGCTAGTAAGCATAAAAAGAAAAAAGGTTTATTTGACTCAGTTTTGGAGGTTTCAGAACATGATCAGTTGGCCCCATTGCTTTTGATCCTGGGGTGACATGTTGTGGTAAAAGCACATGACAGAACAAAAACACTCACTTCAAAGTCAAAGAGAGGGAAAAGACAGGGCCAGGATGTCACAGAGCCCTTTAAGGGCATGTGCCCTCTATCCTGGACACTTTACACTAGGTCTACATCTTAAAGGTTCCACTACCTCCCAATAGCTCCATAGGTCCAAGACTTTAACATGAGCCTTTGGGGGCATCCAGATCCAAATTACAGATGAAATTTAGCTATTAAAATTTCCTAATACTATCTCTCTTTCCGGGTTTTCCTCAGTGCAGGGTTTCCTACTTTGGGATTCAAGCGTATTTTATAATACACTTATGCTGATCTGGTTTGTACATATTGGGTTGAAATTCTGAGGTGGGACTGATTGCCCTACAGGGTCCTTAGAGGAGTCAGGAGGAAGAGGGACAGCAGGGCAGTGTGAATGAGTAAGTACTAACCAGCTGTGCCTGACCCTTCTTTGTTCTGACCCGAGTGCATCACGTTAGCTGTTGCTTTGAGGCAGAAGAGTACTAACATTTATTGAGACACATAATTTACTTACATTTTCTCATGTAATTCTCACACCAGCGTCTGTGTAAGTGGGTTCAGCCCCAATTTATAGACGGGTAAACTGAAGCACAGAGCATTAGTCCAAGATCACATGAGCAGAAAGTGGAGTCATCAGTAGTCTGTTGCTAACTCTGATTTATCTGAACCCAAAACTCATAGTCTCACAAAGGGTAGTTATAAGAAGCTTCTGCTGAGTAGAGCTAGGCTCTCTTCTCTCTCACTTTTCTTACCTGCTCAGTGAAAATAGGATTGTTTACAAAAAAGCAGTTGGCTTGTTAGGTAAGTATACTTGAGGGTGAACTATTGTTCTTTGAGGAATTGTGTGTGAGTATAGTGTTCATCACTGCATCCTGAGAGCAGCACTGTTTAGGTAAGAACTACTTGTGATAGCTGACTGAGCAAGTAAACAGTGGTAATCTCTGTACTCTTAGCCACTCTATTGAAGATAAAAACTTATGCTTTTAATGACCACTTCGCACAGCATTTCTTTTTTTTGTTTTGTTTTGTTTTGTTTTTTTGGTTTTTCTCTGGTACCGGGAACTGAACTCACAACCTTGCACTTGCCAGGCAGGCGCTTTTGCCGCTGAGCTAAATCCCCAGCCCCAGCACAGCATTTCTTAACCTCAGTCTGTTCTCCCAGTCCAGCCAGTTTACCAGTAGTGATTCACCTTCTTTCTGGTGACTGATACCCAGTAACCTGAGACCCAGTGTAGGCTTGTAGTACTTTATTTTGGTCAGTGCATAGTTGACTTAGCAAGTATGATGTGGTCTTGAAGTACCTACCATTTCCCTCTGCCACTGGGATGGAACGTATTCCCATGAAATGAAATGAAATGACCTTTGCAGTGCACAAACCCAGTTCCTCACTTACTCCCCCCTCCAGACTCCAGGGTTAAGAGCATGGCAGTTCTTCATGATGTAATTCTTCGGCTTGTGTACAGCTTTATTGCAGGGAGGAAACAAAAGTATTGTGTGCACTGAAGTGATAATGAGTCCAAACCAGTGTACCTATCGTTTTTTGTTTTTCTTTTATCCTCTGCTGTTGTTCATTTAACAAAATCCCTTTAAAAGCAAGTAAAAGTGAAGAGTGAAGAATGCTGGGGTTGATTCTATGCTCTGATCTCTACTAGTTTCTGTGGGCTTACATAACTTAAAACGTCTCTGCACCTTACTTTCATCATCATGAGGATTAGAGATAATGTGTGATAAGTACCTAGTACAGAGATTGGCAAAGGGCAGATGTTCAATATAGAGAAGCTGCAGTTACTGTTATTATAAAACGCAAAGACAATCTTATGATGCAAAAGCTTGGGACCTGTTTTGTTACAGTAGTAAATAGTATTTCCCTGTGGACCTCTTTGTGCTGCTCATATGCAATCCAAGAAAACAGTGGAATAGTGTTCCAGTAAGGAAAGATAGCTCTTTGTTCCCTTCAACAGACAAAAGAAACTCATTATCGTATCAAGTAGTGACTGTTGCTATTGAAATGGTTTATTTGTGTTTTGTTTTTTTTTTCTGTTTCTTCCCTAGGGATTTATTTGTGGCTTTTCAGTAGCAACAGGTGCAGCAGCAAGACTAGTGTCAGGATACGACAGCTATGGAAATATCTGTGGGCAGAAAAATGCAAAGTTGGAAGCAATACCAAACAGTGGCATGGACCACACCCACCGGAAGTGAGTAGTCTTACAATGTTGACCACCGTGGAAGCTGAAGGAAGCACAGAGAAAATTCTGCTTTCCTCACTACTTTAAAAGATATTATCTACTGATTACTTTTACATGACTTCTGTTGGTGTGTTTTGTTTGTGTTTTTTAAACTGTATACTTGAATCTTGCCTCTTTTCTTTCAACAAATACATTCTCCAGAAAACAAAATTAGCTGCCATTTTATAATAGGCTACCATGCGGTTTTAATGGGTAAAAGCTTGATTTAGGAAGATTACTCATATACTATTTCCCTGTTAACCTTTGGGTTATGCACTACATTTTAACCCAGAAACTAAGGTAATATTTTCTTCCTAAGATTATATGTCATGGGGGACAGGGATGATGATGGATACTGAAACATTAAAGTTGCAAAGTAACATTATGTGATGAATCATTTATAAGTATATGTCAATTTCCAATTTTATAGAAGATACATTTTCCTTGTTAGACTGCAAAATTTGTTTTGGGTTCTTGGTACTCATCTTTTGGATTTCATGAAATTCTTATCTTAATTGCTTTTACCTTAAAGAGAGCTATTACTTAATTTTTAATGTCTGTGGAGAAAATATATTTCATCGAATATCTTTTATGTATGATATCAGTATAATTGTTGAAACTGTATACTCACACTCCATCTAACTTTGTTAGAATATTTTAATTACCTAACCAGGTCTTCAGAATTAACAAAACTAACTTTAAGGTAATAGGCCTAATATACTTCATAGATAAAAACTAAACAGATGATAACATTTTTAGGTTATATCCAGCATTTTCCAGGGAAGCCATTTAAAATATCTATGTATTATTTTATAAATATGTGAGTTAAATCAGCCTCTGTAAGATTAACTTATTTCACAGACTTGAAGAAATTTAACTAAACACACCTTCCTTTAATAAAGAAGGAATAATGTAGTTTAGCAGTATTTTAAATAACAATAATGAATATCTGTGTCTTATGCCATAGTTGACAAGCACATACCATCCTGTGAGGGAGGTATAACAGAGGCTTAGAGAGGCGGGAGGGCCTTTCCTAAGTTCACACAGCTGGTATGTACCAGAACATCCAGGACAGACTCCGAACTTCTTGCTTGAAGTGCACCTGCATCCCTTCAGAGAAGGGAAAATTGGATGTTTAGCAGTTGGGAGGATTGTTTTATGATTGCCTCATGAAATTAACAGAGTTTAGATTTCATGTTATTTCTTACAGCAAGACTATCCGTATCTCTTTTGTTTATTCTTTACTTTGAAATAGTTTTGAACTCAGAAGTTGCAAAAATAGTAGTTCTACACTTTTTTCCCTTTTTTAGGTAGCGTCTATGCCACAAAATATTGTCTAACTCTTTCATGCTGTTGAAATATGTCAAATGTAAAATATTACTATTTACGTAATTGAGGAGATATGAGAAAAAGGGCTATATTCCTTCAGGTCCACTGATAGCTTATATTACAATCGTTTTTATAGTTTTATTTATAATTTGCTAATGACTTCAAACATATTTTCATCCTAAGGTTTTGTGTTACTCTTCACATTTATGGTGGTGAAGTAATTCTTGGATTATTCTATGTATCTTAGGCTTCTTGCAAAGAGAAACTGCATATTATTCCAAGAAAATGGTCATTTCTCTGACTGCTTAGCATAGTTGAAAACCATTCTTGTATAAGGAAAATACTTTCCCAAGTATAACTATTCTTTAACTCATATATAAATGTTTAAAATTTATTTTTGATCTCTATTTCTTTTTTGCCTTATAAGCTTTTTAGTGGTAACCTGCCTGCATATAAATGTATTTAATTTGCAATGAATATTATATTTTTGAATATACTTTTTCAGGTAAGTCTGTGTTTGGATTTGGAAGGCTATAGTCTTTGTGATTGTTAACTTATTTCATCTTTTTCCTCCTGCCAAATACACTGGCTTTCTTCCACATCTGTTTTTCTGTCCTTTATGCCAGGCACCCACACCCATAACCCCAGCACTCTAGGTACTAAGGCAGGAGGACCACTGTGAGCTCAAGGCCAGCCTGGACTACAGAGTGAGACCCTGTTTCAAAAAACAAAAACAAAAACATTTCTCTACTTCTTTGACTTCGTTATAGACTTCAGGCCCATCCATAGTGATTTATATCTGTTTTATCTGCTGTTACTTCAGCCTGACTTTGATCACTTTCCTAAAGTCCTGATCTTTAGCTCTATTATAGTACCCTGTACTTCCTTGGATCTCCATTCATGTTTCTTGAATAAGTCAGTCAGTGAATCTTCTAAAATCTTGGGTGAAACCAACTCCCTTTTGCCTTCATGAATATTGTTTCCTGTATTAGAAAAAATAAAGCAGAACTCCATCTTTTCTTTAGATGGCTAAATTCTATTCATCGTACAGTTCTCAAAATAATTGTTCTTCCTGGAGATGTTTTCTTTGATCTCACAGTTTAAAAGTACTTTCTCATTGTGTCCTACAACATAAGTGATTACACAGTTATATTTTTATAATTTGTACAATATATGCCTCTCAGTTTGGGGATGCAGCTCAGAGATAGAGCTCTCGCTTAGCATGTGCTAGTTGCTGGGTTTAATCCCCAGCTCTGGGAGAAGAGGGGGGAAAAAGTGTACCTCTCCTAAGAGAGGCATTCTTGCACCTACCCCGTTCTCTTTCACTGTTTCTCAGGATGTTTTATTATTGTCCATGATATTCAGTCAAGTCTATCTCTTGTTATTCCTTCTCCCCATCTGCCGATCGGAATCTTTGCGGCACTTAAGCTGAGCCTCATAACTAACCTTTTTATGAAATGTTTCATAACTAACCTTATCCTATAGTGAACTCTCTTTTACTTTGCTTACCTAAACTTTTGTCATTCTCATTATTCAGTTTACTCTCTAATTGTATTGTGTTTCTCATCGGTCTGTATTAATTATTGGTTGCTAAGTAACAGTAGTACCATAAATTTTGTGGCTTACCAGGAGGTATATTTATCGTCTCCATTCCCATGGGTCAGGAATCTGGATGTGGCTTGCCTGGGTCTTCAGCTTCACAGCATCTGCGCAGCCTGCATGGGATTATATCTGAAGTAAAGGTTCCACTTCCAGGCTCATATGGTTGCTGGCAACATACAGTTCCCTAGGGATTGTTGGACTGAGAATATGAGGAGGTCTGTGCTAGCAGCTGCTGGAGGCAGTTCTTGCTGCAGCTCCATGGGCCTTTCCACATGGTAGTTTAAAGTCCATCTGAGCCAACATGAGAGAGGGTCAGCGCGGAAGTTGTAATCACAAAAGTGATGTCCATCATCTTTGCAGGCCACACCAAAACTCAAGGGAAAAAGATTACACAAAGGTGTGGATACTGAAAGCAGGAAGAACAGAGGTGTTGTAGAGGCTGAGCCCTCTGCTTAATTCCACCTCCTGCAAACACCATGTCTTCTATTTCTGAGTTTGAGCACCAGCCATTCCTTAATAAAGACATTTTAAATTGTAATAAGGAGAGGAAGAAAGAGAAATGGGAGGGAGAACACTTTTTGCCTGTTTTAATCAGAGTGTTTAAGATGTCAACATGACTGTAAGAATTCCATTAGTAGTAAAGAAAAAATATTTTATTATATCATCCAGTTGTAATGTGTTCTTTTTCTCTGTGTAATATCTTTGAACTGATAGTATGTAAAGGTACATAGGAAAGTTGCAGACAGAACTTTATGAGATATACAAAAGCCTCAACTTCAAATACATTGAGTTGATTTTAAAATTTGCTACTGGAACCATTTAAAACTTTTCTGCACAGAAACAAAGCTATGCTAAGATTCTAAGGCTGGGTCAACTCAGAAATGCTCATTTATCTTAGAACCAAAAAGTGCCAGAGACTAAAGGAATTTATAGGTTACTTAATGTACAACCTCCTTAAAGCATTGTATGAGATATTTTTGAGTGCCAATTAAAACTGAAAAGGTGAATGACTTGCTTTATAACTGAGCTATGGTGGTAGTAATACTCCAAAATATCTTTAGTTTATTATTATTTTCTCACTGGTGGGAAGCGGAGTGGTGGTAATATAGGAGTACTTTGGTTTGCGATCTTAATTCTTTTGACAACTCTGGTCTCGAACTGAATTGGATGAGAACCAAATCAAATCCAATGGTTAGGTTCAGTGTTGACTTTATGGGAAAACTTGGTTCCATTCTCATCCAATTTAGTTTGCAACCAGAATTGTGGAAAGAATTTCCTGAACCAAGATACCATTGTGCTTTTTAACTCTGATTGGCGGTTCCAAAATATGTCTCTTCTGCTGCATTCTAGATTGTCTAACCGTTATCCACATCTATAATGTATAAGCAGTCTTTGGGTGTACCTGTCTCTTTTAGGCAGAAAATAATAATATTAATTATTATTATTATTATTATCATTATTAAGAAAAAACATTTATTTGGCTCAGAGTTTTGGAAGTTTGTAGTCTAAAATCAGGCAGCTCCATTTGTTCAGCTTCTGGTGAGGGTCTGATGGTGGGTGGCGTTGCGTCTTGGCAGAAGTGCATATGGGGAGCAGGTATAGGTACAATTATATCTCAAAACAGGAAACTAGAGACAGCCCTGTTATTACTAAAATCTTCTCATAAAGGAAGCTGCTTATTTTCTGTCTTGGTTACTTTTCTTTCATTGGTGAGACAAAATACCCAACACCCAAAATTAAGAAAAGAAAGGTTTATTTAGCTTACAGTTTGTGGTAGTTTCAGTCCATACGTGGCTGGCTCCAAGGCAGAGTGGCACATGGCTGAGGGAAACCATTCGTGGCGGGGAAAGGCAGCAAAACAACAAGAGCAAAAGGGAGGAGCAGTGGCAAGCAGCCTCTTTCCCTCCCTTATATTGTATGCAGACTACCTGCCCCAGGACAGGGGTAGCACTCGAATCCATAATCCCAGCATTGGACCATGAGTCAATCATGTACTCTGAAATCCCGCCCCATGACTGCATGAGGCTTGGGGGGACATT